CTTCACTCACTCACACTCACCCACCGAGCCCGGAGCAGTCAGGCCAGGCCTTCCCATGCCTTCACTCACTCACACTCACCCACCGAGCCTGGAGCAGCCCCAGCCAGGATTTCTTGTGCCTTCCCTCGCTCCACTCATTCCCCGGCCCCACTACCCATTCACAGGTTTCCTGTCTACTTTCCTGCGACAGGCCTCACCTAGACCTATGGGCACAGAGGAGGCCCAGGCCCTGCATCTGGTGCTCTCAGATACACAGCCAGGAGCCCAGGCAGATGGGCACAGGGTGAGGGCACCCAGGCCTCTGAAAGCGCCTCCACTTCCCAGAGGTCTCGCCCACTGACTGCCTTCCCACAAGAGGAATTTCATTTATAAACGGAGAAGCCACGTCTCCCTCAGACCTCTCTAAGAACAGCACCCTATCTCCCAGCCCGGGCCTCAGACACTTAGACCCTCCCATCAATGGAAAAGATAGACTTGATAAGCCAGGGAGAGGGGGCTAAACGTGGAATCCTAAGAAGAAATGCATGTTAAAAATGAAATAGACAATGGGGCTGGGTGTGGTGGCTCATGCCTGTAATCCCAGCACTTTGAGGCCAAGGTGGGCGGATCACCTGAGGTCAAGAGTTCGAGACCAGCCTTGGCAACATGGTGAAACCTCCTCTCCAATAAAAATACAAAAATTAGCTGGACACTGTGGTGCACGCCTATAATCTCAGCTACTCAGGAAGCTGAGGCAGGAGAATCACTTAAGCCTGGGAGGTGGAGGTTGCAGTGAGCCGAGATCACGCCATTGCACCCCAGCCTGGGTGACAGAGCCAGACTCCATCACAAGAAAAAAAAAAGAAAGAAAGAAACAGACAATGGGAAAAAAATCATGACTTCAGTTGCCAAACCGGGTATTCTACATTTTCATTAAGTATCCACAGCAAGGTCCAGCCTCTTACAGCGACCACAAACACCTCCTGAGAACCACATCCCGAAGCATGCGGAGGCCCGACTCACTGTGACCGCCCAGCCCAGCCCCTGAGGCATCTCCCTCCCTACAGTGACAGTGTGCCCTCCAGGGCAGCTGGGACCCCACCCCACAAGAGCACACGCTCCGCCTAGCTTCCTACCAGGAGCACAGAGTTAGAGGGGACCCCTGCCCTCTCCTCGTCCCACAGCCATCAGCACATCACTGCTGTGCTCCCTTCCCCGGCACATGGATTTTTCAAAATTCTAAATAAAATCCAGTAGCTGTGAAAGATTGAGGCACTGCGCTGCCTACTGCAGGCGAAGTGTTTCCCATCAAGCCAAAATTCCAGCTACACACACCATGGCTTTAAAGTTTCATTTTTAAAGTGAGAACGATCACATCACCCAGCTCTAAACAGACAGCCAGTACCTAGCGCAAGGCACCCAGGCAGGAGGCGGCTGGCCCAGGAAACCTTCCTCCTTTCCAGTTTTGGAGACAGGAGGCCCCCACTAGGTTTGAAATGACCCCATCTGAACTTGAAAGTTGCCACCGCAAGACCCACCTGTCCCTCACCCCTCCGATCCCTGTTCCTGAGCCCCACACAGAGCCACTCCTGACCCCAACACAGAGCTGCTGGTCCCTGAGAGCGGTGGCGGCTGCTGTCTGCCTGACCCCTCAGACGCTGCACAGGAGCAATCGTCAGGCTGTGCGACCAAGTACTGCACTGAGGTTGGAATCAGCAGAGATGGCTTCGCCCTCTGGGTCTCGGGCCCTTTGAAATCTGCCACCCAGGAGGATGACTCCAGCATCCAGTAACTCACCAGTCTGAACCCATCTCATCAACAGGCTCCATGAATTTCCGCCATGAACTAATCAAACTTTGGAACTCTGGTGCCAGATTTATTGAGATTCAATCTCTTGCCTGGATCTGGGGACAAATTCCCATCCTCCTTGCCCAGCCCGAGCCCACCTTGCGCCCCGTTTGGACCCCCGCCTGCCTTTCCTCTCCAGGGTCTCAGCACCTTCAAACCCTCAGCTGCAGTCCCAGGCAGCAGCATGCCCTACCTGAGCACACACTAGGCAAACGGGGCGTCCTGGCCGTCGCTGGCCTGCGGGGACACTGCCCCGAGGCACCTCATGGCTGCTATTTAGAGAGGCGGCAGCAGTCCCAGGCGCAGGGAGAAGCCTCGGCCTGGGCCATCAGACAGCCCAGCAAATCAGGCTGCCCGGCCAGCTGCAGCGTTATCTCCGGGCGGCTTCCTGTCTGCCCTGCGTCCACCAGGGTCCTGCAGAGTGGCCTGTGGGGTGTGGGAACGCCAGGAACTCCCGGAGGCCGGCTTTGGGGAGGGGGCAGGACCTTCCGGGGGAGGCCCCTGTGACTCCCCAACCCAAACACCTCCATCCTGTTTCTTTGTTGGCTTTCTCTTTTTTCATTTTTTGAAAAAACAAGCGTGACTACTGTGGAAGTTCAGAAGAGTGACGCTCATCGCCTGGCACCGACCCGACAGCAGCCCGCAGCCGACCGACTTCCTTCCTCGTTCCTAGGGGACTTCGCTTCAAAAGGCAGTAAGAGCTTGACCACGGCCTGTGGAGACCTGGCCCCAGGTGAGTTGGAAACTCACTCCATGCATTTCAGCTTCATTCAGAGGCAGGTTTCATTTAATGCCAGAAACAAATCTTAGGGGCTGGACAGACCCAGCTTCTGTGCAGCCTGAATCTTGCATATCTTGAGGGATGGTGGAGCCTTCTTTAAGAAAAAAATACATATAAAATTACAAGTGTAAGACGCTAGGTTCAAAGGTGAATATTGATTTAGACTGAAAAATCATAAAATCAAAATGTAAAAATGGAGAAATTCCACACAAATCATAAAATCCAGGAAAAATAATGGATTCTTTATTTTAAATATATTATTAAAGCTATACATAATGAACCACTTCCTGAAAACACAAACTATACAGCATGCCCAGTGCGAAACAGATAATTCAATAGCCCTATACCAAGGAAGGGAATTGAATTTGCAATTTAAACACTCCCCAGAAAGACATTTCAAGACCAGATGGATTCACAGGAGAATCTACCAAACATTTAAAGAAAAATTAACACCAATTCTACACATCCTCTTCCAGAAAATAGAAGAGGAGGGAATATTTACCAATTCATTTATAAAGTTGATATTACCCTGATATCAAAACCAAAGAGAACAAAAAACTATAGACCAATAACCCTCATGAATAGAGATGAGAAAATCCTTAATAAAATATTCACAAACAGAATTCAGCAATATAAAAGAAGATTTATAAACTCTGACAAGACAGGGTTTCATCCGGGAATGTGAGGCTATGTCACTATTCAGAGCTCCACTATGCAACCCACCACATTAGCAAGCTAACAAAGAAAATCCCATGAGTGTATCACCGCGGCAGAAACAGCATTTGGCATAAGTCGACACCCTTTCATGATAAAAACTCTCAGCTTGATAAAGAACATCTTTCATAAAAACTCTCATACTTGACAAAGTATGATGTTAGCAAAGCCACAGCTGACATCATACTTCGTGGGCAAAAACAGAATGTTTCCTTCCTGAGATCAAGACACGGCAAGGATGTCCACTCTCACCTCTTACTCAATGCAGTGCTGAAGTTCTGGGCACAACAGCAGGGCACGAAAAGGAGATAAACAGTGTGTAGATTCAGAAACTGAAATAAAACTGTCCCTTGTTGCAGATGACATGGTTGTCTACTTAGAAATCCCAGAGTCTACAAAAGAGCTCCTGGAAACTATTAAATCAGTGCAACAGGTGACAGGATACAAGGCAGTCATTTTAAAACCAAGTAGCCGGGCACCATAGCTCACACCTATAATCCCGGCACTTTGGGAGGCTGAGGTGTGCAGATTACCTGCGGTCAGGAGTTCGAGACCAGCCTGACCAACAAGCCAAAACCCTGTCTCTACTAAAAATACAAAAATCAGCCAGGCGTAGTGGTACATGCCTGCAATCCCAGCTACTCAGGAGGCTGAGGCAGGAGAATCGCTTGACTCCAGAAGGCAGAGGTTGCAATGAGTTGAGGTCATGCCATTGCACTCCAGCCTGGGTAACAGAGTAAGACACTGTCTCAAAATAAATAATAAAAATAAACTGTGAAAAACCAAGCAGATTTCTATAAAATGGTAATGAACTCATAGACACTAAAATTCAAAATATTTACAATTGCTTTAAAAAAGGAATACTTAGGTGTAAATCTAACAAAACATATATAGAACTTATATGCTGAAAACTACAAAATGTTGCTGAAAAGCTCAAAAAAGATCTGAATAAACAGAGAGACACATCATCTTTATAGATTAGGAGACTCGTCCAGGCACGGTGGCTCATGCCTGTAATCCCAGCACTTTGGGAGGCTGAAGTGGGAGGATCACTTATTTCAGGAGTTCAAGACTAGCTTGGGCAACATGGTGAAACCCTGTCTCTAACAAAAACAATACAAAATTAGCTGGGCCTAGTAGCATGGTCCCAGCTGCTCAGGAGGCTGAGGTGGGAGGATCACCTGAGCCTGGGAAGTGGATGTTGCAGTTAGCTGAGATCGTGCCACTGCACCCCAGCCTGGGTGACGGAGTGGTACCCTGTTTCAAAAATAATAATAATAATTTAAAAGTATAGTTTAGGAGGCTCAACAGAGTAAAAAAATGTTGATTCTCCCCAAAATTAATACACAGTACAAGCTTAACACAACTTTTTTTTTAATATTTGGACACAACACAATTTCTATCAAAATCATAATAATCTTTGTATATATAGACTATTCTAAAATGTATACAAAAAGAGAAAGGAACTAGAATAGCTGAAACAATTTTGAGAAAGAATAAAGTAGGAGGAATCAATCTACACAATTCTAAGACATTATACAGTGGAACAGAACAGAGAACCCGGAGGTAGATCTTCACCTATACACTCAACTGCTTTTTCACAAAAGTACAAAAGCGACCAGTAGAGGGAAGATGGCGTGTGCCACCAACAGTGCTGCAGCCACGGGACATCTGCAGGCAAAAAAGATAACCCCAATATAACTATCACACAAAAGCTATCTCAAAACAGATCGTGGGCTTCAACGCAAAACGTAAAGTTGCAAAACTTTTAGAAAAAAGCACAGAAAAAAAATCTTCAGGATCTAAGGCTCAGCAAACCATCCTTTGATATTCTAACATCAAAGTACAATCTCCAAAAGCAATAACTGATAAATTGAACTTCATCAAAATTAAAACCTTTTGCTCTGCAGAAGATCCCATTAAGAAGATGCAAAGACAAGCTACAGGATGGGGGGAAGCTTAGTTTTTAAAAACTGCCTGACAGCCCTTATATTTTTGTTTTTGTTGACAGTCTCACTCTGTTGCCCAGGCTGGAGTGCAGTGGCACGATCTCGGCTCACTACAACCTCCACCTCCTAGGTTCAAGGAATTCTCATGCCTCAGCCTCCTGAGTAGCTGGAATTACAGGCGCCTGCCATCACTACTGGCTAATTTTTGTATTTTTAGTAGAGACGAGGTTTCACCATGTTGGCCAGGCTGGTCTCGAACTCCCAAAGTGCTAAGATTACAGGCATGAGCCACCGTGCCTGGCCCAGCCCTTATGATTCTATATTATTTGGCAGTATATCCTTTCATTGCCTGCTCCCATGAACTCAAATTTCTATAGAAAGAACAGAAGGTGACTCAGTATTTGCTCCACCTTTCATGGTTATTTAAATTTTGTATTACTGGTACCTTCAAAAGAATTTACTTCAGCTCCACAAGCCTCTACCGGTAACGTCATGAGCATTTTCGGGAGGTTGCCACATTCGGGGAAGCCTTTGCCAGTTTTCTTTCATATTCGAAGTGTACGATTTCAGGCATTTCACCTTTTGGGGTTCGTTTTGTTTTGTGCAGAGTAACCCTAGTCTGAAATGACCACACCGCTGACCAACTGTAGCTCATGACCTCTTCCTACACCGTGAACCACTGAGCATATCCAGCTGAAATCCAAAATCATATAACCCCGACTCCACTTCAGTGTGCTCTCCCACCCCGCGGACTCAGGGGACACTTGACAACATGCAGGAGACATTTTTAGTTGTCACTACTGGGGAGATGGTACTGGCTTCTAGTGGGAAAGGCCAGCGGTGCTGCCAAGCACCCACAATGCCTGCGATGACCCCACAGCACCCAACGCTCCAGCTCTAAAAGCCAACGGTGCCACAGTGGGGGAACGCTGAGCCCGAGCCAAAGATGGCCGGGCCGCTTCGGCCGCACTCAGTGGGAGGCTGCGAGGGAGGACCAAACAGCGGCCTTCACTCACTGTGCTTGATGTTTTCTTTGTGCTAAGTGTATAAAAATATCTGACCACAGAACTCAATGCTAGGGCCCCCAGCCGGATCTTGATGGCCTTGGGGTGAATCTGCCCCTGTGATCTGAAGCAGGTGAATCTGCCCACAGGCCCATCACTCCATGTCCTGTGGGCAGCCATCCTTCTGCCCGTGCAGGACCCAAACTGGGGTAAAGAGAAGGGAACCGCGTGCAGAACCCGGCGCCAGCTGGGATCAGTCGCAATCACTCACAAATGGAGCCTCCCAGCTACCCTCAGAGCAGGGCATCCTCACCCCCGTACAGAGTTCAACAATGAGAGAGCTTGCCCAAGATCACAGTTCACAAAGAACTTGCCAATCGGAGTCTGGGCCCCCACGCTAAAGCTGCATTTGTCACCAAGCAAGCCAGCAACCGTCCTGAGACCCGACCGCCCGGCTTCTGCTTCACAGCTGATGTGGGTGTTTTCCATTTGTTTCTGTGTTTCCGAAATATTAAAGGCTTTTTTTTTTTAATGCCAAAAACCTGGTCATTACTCTCTGTTACATAAATAAGTGATCATTTAACTTCCCGTTTCAAGCAGACTACAGTGGAAGTGCAGTTAGACTGTCAGCCGTATTCACACCTGCACTGGGAACAGGAACCAGGCCTCCCCCCACCTTTTTCTCCCCTCCCCGAAGGTTTTTCTTGAAAGCGTTTAAGTCGTGGCTGCTGGGAACAGCCTCTTGCCTAGTGAACCCTGACCCTCTCATGGAGCCGGTCCACGCCAGGGGCCAGAACAAGGCTCTGGTGCACGTCCCAACTCGTATTTACATTTCTCAGAGATAACTCAGAAATCTGGACAGCAGGAGCCGGATGAAAACCCTGCTTGTCTCTGGATGGGAATTCTCACTGGGGTCACACAGTACGTGCTGCCAAATCTCTGGGACAGTGTCCCATGAGGACATTAAAGGCAGCCACCTCTCCCTGTCCCCGAGTGCCCTG